AAATTTAGATTTTTCTGAATGCGCATGAGTTTAGGCTGCATTTAAATTAGATCTAAATTTTTCAGTCACTGAAAGATTTTTAATTTTTTAATTCTTTGATAATGCTATTAATTAACAATTTGGGACAAAAAGTTTGCCATAGAATTTTTTATGGAAAAGGCATCATACATGATAGAAAATAATGCTTGAAGAACCGTGAAATATAATTGTGTTTCATTGACAACACAACAGTGAAACAGGGCTCCAGAGATGAAAGTATTAAGAACACAAAATTGGCTCAAAGGATTAAAAATCCCCTTCTTTTCAGCCATAAGGTTAATCTATTTTTCATGAATCTACTAAATTTTATGAACTCCAACTGAAGATGAACCACAATACAACTGTAAACTGGAACAGTTACATGCAGGAGGTGTGTACCATGGCTTTAATTACTCGGCCTAAGTTGGAAATCAACAGATGAGACAAGATTATTGACGTAGACAAAAACATTTTCACTCAAAGAAAGAGCAACATTGCCATGTTCTGGATTTTTGGATTGTGCTGACAATCAAATAAATACTTTTTTAATCTTTCTTCCAAATCGATTAGCAAAAACTTTATTGAATATCATGAAGGAAAATATCGCAGATGGAAACATTATTTATATTGATTGCTGGAAAGCATACAAGTTGGATAAATTTCAAAATACTGGCTTTGAACATTTTACTGTCGACCATAAATAATAATTTATTGGATCCCAAAAGTGGGTGTCACACACAAACATTACAGCAGTTTGGGGGAGGGCAGTGCCAAATGGCACAATGAATGCTATAAAGGCACTGCAGGACAGCACCTCGAGTCTTATTTGTCTAAATTTATGTGGAGATGTTTACACAAAAAACTGAAATTTTCTCTTCAGTTTCGGGAGAAATAAAAAATTTAATACCTTTTGTTTGTTTTCTATTTATTTTTTATGGCTTGTAATAAAAAGATGTAATATATGAAATTAACCTTGCATTTAAATCAAAATAATATTCGTAGATAGTTATTTATGATTGTTTCGTTCTTTGTGTTGGGATTACCATAAATTATTTTTGGCATCAACAATAGCTGGCGATTTTTTATGGCCTCGATAATGGAATTGTACCCTTTTTCTTTTATAACCATATAATATGAATCTCATCTTGTAACTTTAAATTAAAAATTATAATTATATAAATTAAATCAAGACGCCCTGCATTACTGACTAACACTGATCATTCAGTAGGATAGTTTTTTGTTGTTGTTTGTTTGTTTGTTTAATTAATCAATGCCTTACTTGTGTGGTTGAGATTTTAAAGTTATGATGCATAATATTTATGTTATCATGTTTTTTGACAACACAATAGAAGTTGAGTTATTAAAAACTGTATTTCATAAAATAGCTTTTGATCACTGTAGTTTTTATAAATCAAAATGAGGCATAAGATTTCATATAAATTGAGACTTCATTATTCAAATAATTTATGTGTAAAAGTAGTGACATGCCTGTGTTGAATTATCTAGAACCAAATATTTTATCAGTGATCACCTAAATAAGTTTCAGTTATTTAAAGTTTGTGAAATCATTAGCAAGTTATAATTTTCAGTCAGTTCACTATTTGTAACGCTTGGTGCTAGGCGAAACATATGTAGCTGGATGCATGAGTTGACAACCTGATTCTCTGATTCTGGATTTTATATGTCCCATGCGTTATTTACGTGTTTCATTGTTAATTGCTTTTCTGTTCTTACTTACGACAAGCTTAAAAATAGTCGTCGTAGTACACCTTCATTCCAATCTTCTGTTAGTTTGTAAAATATTCAAATTTAAATGATTTTTTCTTTAAGATTTCAATCATTAATGAGATTTTGTTTCCTTTAGATGCCAAAGATTTAATGTACCCAATACATTGCAATTGTTTTTTATGGCATGATTTTGTAATGAACACCAATGTGTCCTGAATTGTGCTAATTTTTATAATTAAAAAAAATAATAATAATGCAGAGGTGATTCCATCAGTTTCAATATTCTATCTGCAAAAGCCAGTTAGGTTAGATCTAACATTTATATTTGAATATAAGGCACACAGTTATATTCAAATAAGTGTCAAAAAGCTGTTATATCTCATAATGTAGTTATAGTTATTTAAATTTAAGTTGATCTTAGTTATTTAACATTAGTTATTAACAATTAGATTATTAACATCTTAGTTATTAACACTTTCAAATGAAGAACAATTAATTGTCCCTAAAGTAAATAGATTGCATTTTTTCTTAAAATGCCAGTTTTGTATCTAAAAAATCATACTCACAGGGTTCGTAGCGGTCCTTACAAGTGCTTTTAAGTCCTTATATTTGAAAATAAAATATAAAGGCCCTTATAGGTGCTTACTTTTTCTTTAAAGCCCTTATTTTTTTGTGTTTAGTGCTTATTTTTTGCTTTTTTTTTTAATCCTTTGTTTTTAATGAAAGCACATTTTTTCCCCGTACCAAAGTCGAAACTAAATAAACAACTTTTCTTTCTTATATGCAACGTCAGATGGTGAATCATACTCCCGGAAATTGCTTTCCCCCCCCCCTTCCTCTGCATTAACGTAACCTATGGTGCGCGCGAGAGTACAGACAGGTGCATGTCGTTCTATTGGCCAAAGAATTGCGAAAACGTAGAAAATTCCGGTACATTCGGTATTCTTTTCCTCCCACCCAAATACTACACACGTTTGAATTTCTATCAAGATTTTAATAATTTGCATTCTCATTCCGCGTGGTCAGTTCATATTCGTGTTTATTATGATCGTTATGCTTATATTATGAGCATATATATGAATATTTATAATAGTATAGTTGCAGTAACTTCTGAAGTATAGATAAACTTCCAAAAATGGATGTGTTTTTACACAGATTAGCTTTCTAAGGAATAATATTCCGAATGGCTTAAATAAAAGGAAAGTAATCGAATAATCAAAATAATTTCATTTTCTTTGCCAATACAGTACGAAGGTTGGGAGTTTCTCAGCAAAATCTCTAATATTGAGGCAGCGGACTTTTTTTGGTCACTGTCCAATCTGGATTGAATAGGACTAAAAGTTTTTGCGGTCTACCCAACCCAAGCGAAGATTGATTCTATTCCGGAAATTTAATACAGTCTGTTGAAAATTAGAATCCACCCCAGATTAGTAAGTCTCTTTCTTTTCCTTTATTTAGTTCTTTTTTCTTCGAATACCGGTAGCAGGTGTTGATTCCGATTGCGTAATATCCACATATGGAAGAATTACGCCGCACGTATTGCGCAATAACGTATTGCACTATCGCAATAACGTATTGCGCAATAACTTTTGCGGTATTTTGCGATTGATAATTAAATTTTGATGTTCAGTCTTAGATTTGTGCTTATGAGTTTTAAACTCTAAAAGAGTTTTACTGTGCTTTCTATTCTAGGCAGAATATTTTCTCAGTTCCGTTGGTCTATTTTTATGTGATGCACATATTCGAAATGTCAAAATAATTTATTTAGCGTAAATTTAAATCTAAAGAACAGCTACAATCTCCTCCACTCCTCTTTTTCCAGTTACTCTCCGGAATATTCGGGAATTTCGAGTATGCGGGTTAGTTAAGCTTTAACTGTTAAAGGATGACTGAACGAAGCAACTTCCTGTCTTCTGATATCAGAAATGTGCCTCTTTATTACTTAAATTATTTTGCTTGGGATATATGTTAAGGGAAAACTGTTATGCAATGGAAATTTAGAAAACGTTCAGAATTTTGATTTAAGTTAAATTATTTAAATATTAATATGAGTGGAAAAATAAATTGTATTTATTATTAGGTTGCCAAACGAATACAATTAAAATGGCTTATTATTATTTATTTTCTATATTTTCAACTGAAATATCATCATTAAATTTTGTAATATAGTTTAGTTCTGCATAGTTTTTTTCTCTCATTGTAAACTAATTCTGTAAATTGAACTGTCATTTAAAATTTAAAAAAAAAAAGTTAATTGTTTTCCATTGTTGAGGTAATGCTCATTCTCTTAATAAATATTGCATTGCTCATATTTTAAATTACAAGTCTAATTTTTCTTTTAAGGTTATGCAGTTGTGTATAATGTAATTAGACAGGTGCTTATTTTTTTCCTTAAAATGTGCTTGAAAAGTGCTTATAGGTGCTTATTTTTTTAACTAAAATGTGGCTATGAACCCTGACTCATAAATGATGAGCATATGAGTATGCAAAATCACATTCATAAATCATGTTCATAAATTTCATCAATTGCTGAAATTTATGAACTGTTAAAATTCAAGTTAATTTGTGTATATAATTTCATTAGAAACTTCTTTAAAGCCAATATAACATTTTTCTATGGTTACAAATAAATTATATAAAAGTAAAGCATATGTTTCATAATAGTTTTTTTATGCTGCAATGTTTCTGGTTTCCTTTCTCTTCAGTATACTAGGATATAATTACCTAATTCGGTGTTTATGTTCATGAAAAATATAGTGCTTAAAGTTAATAAAAGTATTGAGAACATTTTATTTTGTATTTACAGAATTTGATCTATATTTAATATTCATTTAAGATAAATATGTAAAAGAAAAACTGCATTGTTTTTCCAAAGTACATGCTTTTTTTATTCCAAATTAGCATTAATAATGGCACTTTGTGTGTATATTAATAGGTATCTGATAGCTCCAGTGTGTAATAAACTGTGCATGCATATTAAATACTGTCTTTCAATATCTGTTGAGCAAAAGTGCACTAATTATAGACAGTGTCTAGGATACAGTATGTCTGCAGTGTGTGCAAACAGTATTGTTAAATTTAATTTCTCAGCATCAAATATGATAAATCTGTTATGGAGAAACTGTTATTCATTGTTTGACAGTCAAGATTTCTTTTTGTGCATGCTCTTTCAGCTCGTACTATTTAACCAAATTTTAGAGTTGAAAAAATTTTCATAACTTTGTATATTAACATAATTTGTTTATTTTTTTAAGGAGATTATTGATAAAAGGCTAAAGTTAATAAAAGAATTTGGAAACATGAGGAAGAGAATGATAGATGAATTTAACAGTAATAAGATAATACGTTTAGAATTACGAAATGGTAAGACAGCACTTTTCTCTCCTTTTAAAGAAACTTTTTAAAATTTCTAGAAATGTACAGTTGCAATAATTTTATGTTTATTTTCAATTTTCTGTTGAAATGCTTATTTTTAAAATCATTTAAAAAGTTATCAAAAACAGGAAAGCTTTATTTTCTGCTCCCATACTGCATGAAGAAAATAATGAGAGCTGGAAATGTATTAGAGTACAAGTAATCATATTTCATTATTAGCATCTCAGTATTCAAATGAATTTTTAAAGTCTGAAAATAAATTTGAAGCGGTTTTTCGTGTTTAAATCATACATTTTTAATTCTGTGTTCTAATGAAATCAAAAAGTGAAATTTACGGTTCTGTCACGATTTTTATGGTGGGATATGTGCTGTATGGAGAATATGCAAGGAATTTATTGAAATACAAAGACTGTACTTAATAATATAATATAGAACATAAACAAAAAGTATAAATAATCTTTAGCTTGTAGATTTTGCAATAAAATATATAAAATAGATTAATTCCCATTAACAATATGCATAGTCAAAGTGATTTCAATATCAGAAGGTTGATTTCCTCTAAAGTTTTGAATTGACATGTACAGGTAAGTGCTTGTGCTAAAGGTCAGTTTGTTTGCATTAACTTGTTCAGCAGCAAAATTTTCTAATTATTGACTAAAACATAAACATAAATTAGTAGTTAACCCTCTAAGTGGCAAGGCCGTATATATACGGCCTAGAATATTTATTGTGATATCTGTAAGAAGGTATATATACGTGCATATTAAAATATGTAAACGAAATTAAGGCAATATATCAAAAGAAAACAAATCCAGGTATGAAATACCAGTAGAGTTTTTACATTAAAATAATAAAAAAAAAAAATTTTTCTCATATTAGTTTTGGGAAATTTGTGCTTTCTTAGCGAAAACCTTGGCCGCCCAGAGGGTTAATATGTATACAGCCTTTTCCAGCTGTGTAACACATTAAAACCAAATATGGAAAACGGAATTTTTAAAACTAGATCTTTCAAACATTTTACCTCAAGGTTCCAAAATACAGATATTTCAAACTAATAAGAAATCTGTAAACTGAAATTATGCAAATTTTTTTCAAGCTAATACAGAAAGATTTCTGCATTAGCTTGCAAAATTTGCTTACGTTAGCTGACAAATTAAAAATGGTTCTTTTATGAAATGGTGCTTACTGTTAATGTTTATGCATATAATGGTGTACAGCTGGGGGGGGGATTGGAGATATTTAACATATTTCATTCTTATTGCGTGTGAATATAGATAATCGGTATAGTAGTAATTTCAGTTTTGTTCATGCTTAATGTTTTGTATGTTACCTTTATTTATTTAGTAAATAAAGGTTTAAAAATAGCATATTTTTTTTCACTTAAACCATAAAATTCAGTTCAAGAGCATTATCGCAAAATAATTTTAAAATAAGCATATCTTTAGAATTTCTGATACACAGTCTCACACACTGGAGATAAAGTTTTTTCCATATGCTGTTGCCATTGCTCGCTTTGAAATCCTTGAATTTGTTAATCAAAAATTCGTTAAAGTTTTACGAATTTTGAAATAGATAATAAAACAAATTCCAAATTTCAAATATAATCTTCCCAGATGCCCATATTTGCAAGAGGATTACATTATTAAAAAGTTGATGGCTCTAGGTACCATTGCTTTATGACAGTGTGAGAAACATACATACATTTACGCAGATTCTTCACTATTTATTTTCTTTAACTATAATGCAAGACGATAATATTTGGTGGCAACAATTTTAAAAGTGGAATAACATTTAGTGAATCAATGCAAAACGCCAAAACGAAATTAATAGTCCTTCTGGACAAATTGTCCATTTGGACTAAAAATGTGTGATAAGCATACGTTTTGACAGCTCTTAAAAATAACTTTAAAGTTTAATAGAAAATGCATGAAAAGGAAGGGCAAAATGGGAAAAATCAGCCACGCTTTTTCTATGGAATCACAAGATAGGTTTTCTGACTATTGGCTGATATGCTCCCAATGCATCACAACAGCTTATGCTGGAGGAATGCCATGATTTCTTGCAATATATAAAGGATATTATGCTATCAATTTATAGAGTAATAAATATCTGTATATAGCAAATTCAGAGTTTCATTCCAGTTTATGTTTGAAAAAAAATATAAATAAATTCCAGCTAATGAGATGAGTTTGTGAAATTTTGCTGAAAAATTAAAAAGAGAATTCAAATTTAATATTCTGGTTCAAACTTAATTATTTTTTTCCAGACATTCCTAAAAAAGTTTTTTTTTTTTTTTTTTTTTTTTTAAATTTAGGAAAGGAAATTCTATTTCTTCATCACATTTAAAGTACATGTACTTAAAATTTTAAAAATCTCACATTACTATCAATTACACATGTTCTAATAAGTTGTTTCTGTACTGACATAAAATGATAGCTAATTGTTAATTTTCTGAATGATAACGTTTATATTTTTCCTTATTAAATCTTTTCCTTTTTAAGGCATTGATACAGATGAACTTGATTCGGAAGTTGGAAATTTAGAAGAGGAAGTGGTTGAATTTCTAATAAAAGAAGATATTGTGGTTCTAGAAGAATGATTGCATATGAACAAAATTTTAGGCTCATGATTAACATTTTTAAATTTTGAATATGAGATGATGGTTTTGCATTGATTTTATTTGTTTAATTTTGTAGCAAGCTTGTAGCACCTGACTTTGAACGTTGAGTCTATAATAAATAATGATTTCTATAATGTCTGATTTTTGTTAATATTAACATTTTCAATGGCAGAAAAATCATTAAGGAGCTAATGGTTTCCTGCACAAACATAAAAACAACAAAGGTAATTAAAATATCATTATATTGGATCTAGTAACAAAATGTATTCAGTTTACATAAGTTGCATAACATTTTAAATGCATATCTGTAGTATTAAAATATATTTCTGAAAGACTAATGTTAGTATTTTTTATTAAAGTTTAATATCACTTTGAATTATAATAATTCTTGAGATATCCAAATCTAATATTAAAAAGCATAAATAATGATGTACTTCAGTTGCAAACGCATTGAACAGAAAGCAATTTGTAACCCAAATTTATATTTAAAATACCATTCTGTATAATATTTTTGAATCTAAATTTAAAATAGAATATTTTTTGGTTCCTTTAAAGTGACTGGTTGATTATTTAATTTTTACATGAGAGTACAAAGCTAACAAAGATGTTTTTCTTAGCAATATGACTGCTATTCATCAATGGTTTCATGTTAACACTTGCAGCAACACCTGATTTGACATCAGTTCCAGCTAAACTTAAAGAGGTTATCACACATGGCTACAGTCCCTGCTAGACGAGACTTTTCTGAGAAAGGAGATTCTGGCAGCACTGGTTTAAATGGGAGGATTCCTAGGAAAAAAAAAAAAAAAAAAAAAGAGCTCTGTTGAAAGTAAAATCTGGCCTAGCTACGGAAACGACGTTGCAGTTACACGGGACTTTTTCAAACCTCACCGAAAATGGTCTCGCCTGGAGCTCTGTCCCAGGTAGAGACAACCAATCAGAGGAAAGTTCTGCTTCTCAAGGATCATGTGATCCCAATCTGAGCAATAATTGATTACTGGTGTTCAAGTCTTTGTAGTAAGTGAAAATGGTAACCTCGCTACGTGGGTTTCCTGGAGTTGTGCTGGTTCTGAGAACTCTCCCTTTCGATGTCAAGGTCCCGCATAAACGAAACATAATGTGATTGGGACCTTAGAATCTTCTTCATAATGATTTATGGTGATATGGATCAATATTCTAAACCTATTTCAATATTCTGATTTCATCTTATATGGCTAATGGGGAATATGTCAAGGTACACAGACTTAAGGACAATGACAGTTAAGCTAGAACTCTTAATTCCCTTGTTTTAGATCATATTTTTAATAATAACTATGTTCATATTATAGGTGTATTAAGTTTTGTTTGCATATTTATAGCCAGTTGTAAATTTTAAAAAAATTTATGCCTTTTAACTGTTAAAGAATTTAATGACTGCAACATGAGGTATATACAATTGCAACGCTTTGGAAAGGATATTTTCTCCTTAAAACATAAAAACTGTATTTCTTCTAAAAATAAGTTTTTTTATGTCCATTTTTAGATAAGAGTTCTCTTTTGAGAGTAGGAGACATATATATAAATAATAATCTTAATTAAAATAAAAAAATTCCTTATGTAATGCCATAGGATCATGTATTTAGTAGATTAATTTTTGAGTATTATCGTGTTGAATATTTGTATCTTAATGCACAAGCTTAACTGCCTCAGATTCACAACAAATTTTGGGTTATTAATGATTGAGATATAGCTTGAAATGTTGTACATGAATCTGTAACATGTTTTAAGGAATTTACCTGATGAAAGAGTTAACCCGGCATTTGTATTTAATGCTTTTGGACTTGATTTTTCTGGTCCATTTCTCATCAGGTATAAAAATTAGAGAAAGGGTAAAAGGTTTTTGCTATATTTCTATGTTTAGCCTTTAAAGCAATTTATAGCCAGTTGTGAAGGAAAAAATGTATGTCTTAAAGAATTGAATGACACTGAAAAAACATTACAGATAGTAATGCTGATTCATTTTTTTTAATTGGACATTTCATTGTTTTTTTATCTTGAATCTGATTTTTTTCATCTTACTGATAATAGAACTTACAGATGGAAGATTATCACCAAGCTCATTCAAAGTATTTGGAAATGTTGGCTAACTGATTACTTAAATCATCATCAGCAGCATGCCAAATGATTTATTAATAAAGGAAGGTGTATTAGTAGTTGTGTTACAAAAAAGGTAATTTCCCCTCTTTAAAATGGTCTTTAGAATTGTAGAAGTTTCACCTGGTAAAGATAATAAAACAAGAGTTGTTAAAGCGTAAACAATCAAGTGGTGTATATATTTGATGTATTAGTAAAGTCTGTTTATTGCCTATCAAAGATAAAAATTTTTAGCATTACATTAATGTGAACTTGTTGTAAATAATGCTTATATTGAAAATGGGATTGTTTTAAAAGAACACATAGATGTTGTAAGTAGTTTGAAATGGTAACTACTGATTGTGCTGCGTGGTGTCAAGAAGAGCTGTAGAGTACTTTTGCGTGAAAAGTTGCAAAACTGTAAAGTGTTTTTGAAAAATAAATTTCATTAAGCTCTCATTGCTTCTCTGTGCATTCAATCCACTGCAAAGTCGTACGCACATATTAATTTTGGACGTCAGACGGGGGCTACAATGTCGGAGATATGAGCCATGGAAGAACAACTAAGAAAACCGACAGTGTTACAGATGGGATAAAAGCAGGCCAAGTAAACATTGAAGCAGATCAAGACGAATTGGAAACATAAATTGCTTCCATAATAGAAAACAAATTCCAGGCTACAAAGGCAGAATAGCCATGGTTGAATATAAAATTGAAGAAAGAGTTTCTGCTGTTGACGGCTCGAAGAAATCCATAGTGAAATGTGACGGCTTTTAATTCTGCTGGGATTCTGAAACCAAGTTCACAAAATTCGATAAACAACAGTGCATTCATTCAACTTCTAAGGAAGTTGAAATTCTTAAAATTTCAATATAAAACATATATGCTAAAATATTGTGGATAGGCAGATCCAAAATAATTTTTTAAATTAAGATATTTTGCATTTTTCCAAAATTTTAAAATGCTTTTCCAAACCTGAAGATATTCGATTCACGGAATGAAAACACACAAGTAAAATAAATGACAAATTTTGATTTTCATGTGTCTATTCATTTGTTATATTTATTTATATTATATTATATATTTTGTTTCTGTCTCTTTTACAATATGTTATGGAAGAACGTTTTGTCAGTATGTACTGTACAAGGTACAAAAGATTTCAAACAGTTATGTAGAAAGACTTAATGCCAAAAAATGCTAAACTCATGTTAGTATTCAATTAAAATACCTAGAAATAAGTATACTTGGCGATGCAGCTTCTTTTGTGATTTATCAGATTTCAAAACAGTGGCAAATTTTTATCAAAAAATATGCTTTTGGCAATCAAAAAAATGTTTAGCAATTTTTTAAAAATTGTACTAACTACATTGCTGGCCATTAAAATTGCAACACCATGAAGGAAAGCAAATACAAAAAAAGATATTTATTGCATTTAAACAATATGGCATGAAGACAAAATGATTAAATTTTAAGTGCATTTTGGAGGTTTACAGGGGTGTGAAATTAGTAGAAACAGCTGCCAGCCCTGGCAACTAAAATGGTCCTTACCGCATCAGGAATAGAGTCAAACTGGGTTTGGACGACAGAAATGGGCAACTCATTCCATGCAGCTTCCAAGTCTATGCCATACTTCATCAACCGTATTAGCTGGAGAGGGGAGATGGGCCGGTCTCTCAGCAAACCATGACCTGATGTTTTCAATAGGTGACAGATCCGGAGACCGTGCAGGCCAGGGCTGCAATCGAATACCCTGTGTATATTGAGAAAGGTCAGAACATGATGTGAAACATGTGGTCTTGCATTATCTTGTTGGAACGTGGCGTTTGGGGGCCTCAAAGGTAGGGCTCGACCACTTGACTTAAGATGTCAGAAATGTTCCCATCTGTGTTCAAATTATCGTCGATCCGAACTAGAGATGTGCGTGTCATGTACCCAATAGTTTAATTAATAAAATAATTAAATAATAAATTAGACACCGTACATAATAGCTGCAGAACGAGATCAAATGGCAATTCTTCTCGAAATAGAAAATCTTTCAATAATTTTCATTTCTATTTATTCAAGCCCTACAGACGACCTCACAGCAACATTTGCTTTTGTAGAAAAGATTTTCAATTCAAGAAATACTCATCATCAAATTATATGAGGAGATTTTAATGCACATAATATTACCTGGGGATATGCATCAACAAATCCAAAAGGTCGAAATTTAGAAGATTTTATCTCATCTGAAAATCTATTCATACACAATACAATAGATGCTCCACCTACTTTTGATAATAGTTATGCAATAAGATGGCCGGACCTCACTCTCACTACACCACAAATGGCCCCTCTCATCCAAAACTGGGCAGTAGAAGAAGAACAAAACTTATCTGATCATAAATTTATTACATTTCAACTTGAAGAGAACACATTTGTTCCAGTAATAAAACGATACACTCTGCAAAAAAATAAAATTCCAATACTCTCTAATAAAATAAAAAACATTCTTTCAATTCACGAGCAACAACTACAAAACATAGAGTCACCTGAAGAACTTGAAAATCTTACCGAACTTCTGCTAAATAATTTACAACATACTGTATATGCAATGAAATCCTCCCAAAGCGCCAATCTAAAAAATTGCAATCATTAAAATGGTGGACAAAAGAGTTAAGAATTCAGCGAAAGAAGTGTATAAGGCTTACGTAGAAAACTAAAATCCGAAAGGCGCCAAATGATACAATCAAATGTATTACAAATTTATCAGCGAGAAAAAGCTACTAATAAAAGGATGATATTGCAAGCCAAAATTAACTCTTGCCATAAGTACTGCACCGAAAATAAAGAAATATATGGGTTTCACCATAAAATAGCCACAGATAAACTCTTCAAACTAATCAAATTATATCTTTCACCGACAAATTCTCAAGGATTTAATCTTCCAGATGCTACTATTAACCATATTTTAGAAACGGTTTTTCCAGAAGATGACATAACTCAAGACACACCTGTACATACTATAGTCAGAAATACAACGACTTTAC